CTGTATATTAATATATATATATATATATATATATATGTAGAAATTAACATGTGTTTCCATCATTTTGTCCATCTCTTCTAGATTTTATATTTCTATATATTCCAAAGCTTCAACAATCTAATATTTAGATACTTTTTGCTAAGAAAACCTGTTCACTTAACAAAGTTTTGTACCCTGCTTGATTACCAAGTGAGTAGAAATATAAATAGAAGTCAAGAAACAAAAGAAAACCATTACAAATTATACAATAAATTATTAGTTTTACTCACTTAGTCCAGCTAGCTAATAAAGATGTACCAATTCCATTTACAAGTTTGGCCATTTTTATTGCAAAATCTGCATCTTCTCCTGCCTGTAAAAATAGATCAGTTTATAACAAAATTAGCATCTTTGTTAGCCTGTAAAAACAGATCAGTTTATAACAAAATCAGCATCTTTGTTAGCCTGTAAAAATAGATCAGTTTATAACACAATCAGCATCTTTGTTAGCCTGTAAAAATAGATCAGTTTATAACAAAATCAGCATCTTTGTTAGCCTGTAAAATAGATCAATTTATAACAAAATCAGCATCTTTGTTAGCCTGTAAAAATAGATCAGTTTACAACAAAATCAGCATCTTTGTTAGCCTGTAAAAATAGATCAGTTTATAACAAAATCAACATCTATGTCAGCCAGTAACAGATAAGTTATTTTGATGTAAAAACTTGATTAAGTCAAAGTCAGCACCATTTTCGTGCTGCAAAAAAATATTGGTTTTAGATGACAATATCATGGTTAGGCTACATTGATAAACTAGCTTTACAACAAAAAGTACAATCACAGTTTTGTTTTCTGTATATAGAAATCAGATTCAGAATGAAACTAAACTCAAATTATTTTTAAGTAAACCTCCTTCAGTTGCAGAAATGAAATTGACATCATTTTCAACCTTTTAAGTTAAATAATTTGATAAAGAAACTGCTCAATTTATCTATAATTTAAAAAAATATATATCAGTGTCTTTAAACTTGGGGTAAAAAGTTTAAAACTGGCAGTCCTAATAGTGTTTTCTTTCCACATTTACAAAAGCAAAATGATTTCTGATCTTACAGTGATTTGTGAAACTGGGAAGTTAAAGCCAATTTTTTTCAAGTTTAAGTTTTTATTTCTTGTGCAGGGTGTCTAAAAATTCCATACTCATGGCCATTTTATTATATATATATATTTTTCAGATGAATGAAGATGTATGATGTGTATGCAAGTTCATGACATGCAATTTCAACAACCTTTGTATTAAACCTACTGTGACGGGTCACGTGTCAAAGGCCATGTCATCACATTTGTTGACTTGCATTCAAAATTTACTAAACGTCTACCAAATTTTGTGAAGATACACTTACCACAATAAAATTTATAGTATAAATACTTAACTCATGTATATTATACCGAGCTCATCGCAAAAGGGTTAAATGAATAACTATGAATACAACAAAAACGTCTGGTCCATTGTAACACGTGCTGATATACAGTAGCAGAGTAACCACAGAATAACAAAAATTTCAAATTAAAGTGAACGAACATTTTAATGGAAGAAATCAACTATACTGCTGACTGTCACTAATAACTCTTCCATTATGTTCAATTACAAAATAACTCAGAATATAATTAGCATACCTGTGGTTAAATTTAAAATATTAACTATTATAAAACAAAAATTCCCTTTTATAACTAATTCAAGATTTTGGATTCCATTTAGAAATGACAATTCTGTATTTTGAAATATCAGTAACAGTCAGTCAACAACTACAGAAAATCAAGTATCAATTTTATAGGCTCAAAATTTTACACATTAGAAAACTGAATTTTATTTTATAAATATGTAAAACTTTTTAGATCCTCTTTTACTATTCTGTAGCTTCAACTCATTTTTCTTCACACGTCCAAGAAAAAACTTAAAACATTACTATAAACTTAGATCATAAACTATCATAATGTGAAATAATGTCTCTCCCTTGTACACTACTCTGTTACACAGGGGAATGTGTGATATGGAAAGTGTCACAACACGATATTGCATCTTTTTCTTTCTACCTTCGGATATGAATTGTGATTTGTTTTCGCTGTGCAAATTGATAAGGCATTTTGTTATTATTTGTATTATTTAAAAGTTTTATTAGCATTAGTTAATAATTTAAGGTACTTTCAAATTTACAAATAGTGTAGACAGTCATATATTGCTAACCTTTTTCATAAACAGAAAAAAATAATCCAACCAAGTCACAAATAGATCCTATATTGCTGAAAAATAATTTTATTTTGTATAAATTTGAATGGATTCGTAATAGGAACACTAGATAAGCATATTTAATGTACAACTTAATATATGACTATTTTTCTAGTTGCTTCACAACATCTCTTTCTCTCAACAAAAACAAAACAAAAAATTCTCAACCCACCTCATTATTTTACATTTGCATTTCACAGAGCTATAGTGTTACAAATATTAAAGTAAATATCATGTAAATATTACATGTATCTTGAAAACAGACTGTCACAGATTTACTATTAATAAAAAGAAATATCTGTCCAGTTTACTAAGTGATCTAAATACAAAAATAGTTGACTTGTTTTAGTGTAATGTGAACCTATTTTAATGCAATATTTACTTTTTTCTTTCAACAGAATTTACTGTTTCTTAATTATACTAAACCTTATACAGCAAGAGACTCGATAACTTATGCACTTTTGAAGCTAGATCTTGCTCATTAAGAACTAAATTTACTGCAATTCATCCTTGAAGAAAGAAGGAATAACTTTTAAAAGAAACTTAGGTGATATTAGGTTTTTGTTTTGTTGTGATATATTTATTTTCTTAATATTATGACACACAGTCTAGAAAGTCTTTGTAAACTCTTTCACAACTTACTTTTGAAAGATTCAGTACACCAGCTTGTTCAAGCACAGTTACAAATGATTCCACTAATTTTGTTTTGGCTGATGGATCCATTCCCTTGTTAATAATCTCGATAATGCAGTCACAAGCTGCTTCTCGAAGCTGTGGCATTGACAAGAAATGAACCAAAACATTTACAAAGCGATCATTTGCAATGAGGTTGATGTCGATCCATGCTACATAAGCACCAATGACTTCAAGACATAGACAAGAAAGTTCAGGGTTGGAGGTTTGGTATGTTGTCTGAAAAACAAAATTGTAAAATCAGCAAGGTTGAGGCTTGGCATGTTGTCCAAAAATCTAAAATCAGTATGAGAAAACATAATTATACAAGTTTTTTAAAGCTCTATTCACTAAACTATATTAAAGAAATTGTTTTTTTCTTAATGTTATCATTACCTTAATTAAAAACTGATCTTTATCTCAAGAAAATAAAACTTTTGCTCAGTACATGTTCTCAGAAACAATGGACAATACTTTAATGTAAATACTGTGCTGTACTATGAAAAAACACTTGGTCTAGTAATATGTAAAAAAATATGACTTTAAGTTGCATCAACCTAGACGAAATTTAGTTGAATGGATGGCAACTGCCTGTTGTAGAAACACAAGTATAGAGGACAACATTTTGAAAGTCATCTTGCAGATGAAAGGTGGAAGACTTTTGAAACGTCATCCTCTACACTTGTGTTTCTACAACAGGTAGTTGCTGTCCACTAAATTTCTTCACGAATACTCTACCTAAACAATCTCTCAAAGAATATGCATCAATCTCATTTAAATTTTTTATTTCATACTTAATTTGACTGGTTTATTTTGGTTACAAAACATCGTGCGTCAAGGATCATCTTACCTTTACCAATAAAACATTGTATTTTGTTAAGTATGACATGTGGTACTTTGTTGCTAGTTTCTCATTCTATTTGGTAATGGAAAGCATTTAAGATAGTCCTGTGTTTAGCATTTAACCTGATATTATCCAAAATGTATCAGCACCAAAATCATTCAATAATGCACTAAACACCAACATAACACATTTTATAATTTATTAATACATTTAATTTAGCAACTGTTAAAATCATGCATACTATTTTATTTTACCGACAAAATCTGTTCTGCATGAAACTGTAAAATCTTTCTATTTTACAGACAAAAATCCATTCTAATAATGGCTGGAGACTGCTTAAATGGGTAATGAAGAAAAACTTTAATGTAAGTTTAACATGACAGCAAATGTACAATGTTTCGACAAGGTTTTGTCATCATTCTGCATGAAACTGTAAAATCTTTCTATTTTACAGACAAAAATCCATTCTGTATGAAACTATAAAATCTCTCTATTTTACAGACAAAATCCATTCTGTATGAAACTATAAAATCTCTATTTTACAGACAAAATCCATTCTGTATGAAACTATAAAATCTCTATTTTACAGACAAAATCCATTCTGTATGAAACTATAAAATCTCTATTTTACAGACAAAATCCATTCTGTATGAAACTATAAAAATCTCTATTTTACAGACAAAATCCATTCTGTATGAAACTGTAAAATTTCTCTATTTTACAGACAAAATATGTTCTGTATGAAACTGTAAAATCTTTCTATTTTTAAATAAGAGGGTAAATACAATTAATATTTATCATTTCTGTGAATTGCTTACAAAAAAAAATAAATTTAGCTTACATTCTACATGAGAAAACAGTAGTCTGTGTTGTACCCGTGAAATACAACATTATCAGCATTCATAGGTAATTGATTATATCAACTGAGTTAATTCCCAACTCTACTTCCTAGTAAAAATACTTAAATTTCACATCTCGGAGTTATAAAAAGTATTTCATCTTCTACGACTGGTGCATCAACAGCATCATGAATGATATATGTACTAACAATATTTCTCTAAATTCAAAACGTTCATTTTCTTAAGTATTTGTAATTTTCATTGTTCAAACATACAGACAATGATTCCATACATTTAAACAAATAAAGTCAATTTATATATAACAAAATGTATATATTATATGTAATGTCACTAATACGTAACAACAACAAAGTTTTGGTATAATTTGACAATGAGGGATCTATATGCTTTACACTAAAATTCATACTAAATTTCAACAAGTTCCTTATTCAATTTTTAATATTTAGTTTTTGACTTGAGTTACATGCATTTCAGTAAAACATTCTGTTAGTTTAATATCTTTACATAAAGCACTAAAATAATTATAATACTGAGCTGAACGTTAAACAAAAACAGAGGTCACACTTTCTACATATAGTAACAGATAATCATGACAGACAATTAATAAAAACATTGATATAAAACTTACAACAATGTGATACCAGGAATCCACAATACTTATTACACTATGATCCCTTATTGTGTCCTTTATCACAACATTTCTTTGAACTTCCTATAAGGAAAAACAAATATAAAACAAATTATATTTCTAAGCTGTAAGGACATTTTATGTCAAAACACTTTCTCGTACAGCAGGGTAATTAGTGAAATCTCATAATCAATTAATCATAGAGCTAATTGATCTAATGCATTCAAGTAATTGAATATTATCACAGAAAACTTCGACAGTCAATCGGAAACATCAATTTGTGCGAGTTATGACACTATTCGTTTAAACTTAATTTTGAATTAATTGAAAATAATTATGAGAAATCATAATTACAATATCTTAATTACTTGGATAGTTGGAATAATCTAAGATAGTGAGAACTGAAACCACTAATTTTGAACATATTATTATTTTGGTGATGTTAATAAACTTTATTGTAATTTTGATAAATCAATTATTTCATGTGACACAAATAAATGTTTACAAGTTATTGATTGTATTGATTAATCAGGTTAAACCCCAGCTCTATTTTCTAGTAAAAATATCTAACTTTCAAAGCTCACAGTTATAACAGGTATTTCATCTTCTTGAAGTATTTACTACAACCAGTGCATTCATGGCACAATAAAACACACATGTACGAACAAAATTATTTAATAAACACATAAATTTCAATATCAAAAGAAAACAAAACCCTTTTTTTTTGGAAGTGAATTAACATCCACTACAATAAACACCAACTAGCATTATGCAGTCATAATACAATATCGGCTCATTATCTGAATTAAGACATTTAAAGCATAAATTGTCTTTTATAAGAAGGAAAAAGCTCTTTCGCTACAAATAAAAGACATCATCTAGGTACAGATATCAACATCATTAATCAAACATTTATGTTTGAGGTTTCAATAAAACAGACACTTTTAATTTTGAAATTTTAAAAACTTTCAATTTCTGAATACAAAGATTCCAAACACATTTTCTTACAATGTTAATGGCTAACAGTTTATTACATGCAACAAAATTTAGTTAAAATCACAAGATTTCAAAAACCTCACTCTCACTTTTGTACGAAATATTGGACATCCAATTCATCAAGTATAGAGTAAATTTCAACTATCTTCTTGCTATCAATTATGTAATTAATAGTCTTTCAGAATATCATGACCTTTTACAACTCTTAATTTTTAATTTCTTAGTACACTTTAAGGCAAAAATGAACTACTGTAGTATGGTGACCAACATTACTTTTATGTCGTATTAGTTTAAGTTCTTACTATAGATAACTAGTGCAAAATGTATAATAGCTTCCTATATCATAAATTAAACTATATTAGATTCCGTTATTTATTATTGTTCTAATTCTTGTTTCTTCCTTTTTCTAAGTCTTATAACTGAAAGCTTGAATATAAATTTCAAATAAAAAATTAGGGTTCAACTTTATTTATCACTTCCAATTACCCTCTCTACACCAGTTAAAGTCAGACACTTCATATTATGTTTAAACATTAGTTTTATTCTACTGCATTTATTATTCTTAATGTTAAAGAACATTCTTTTTTTTGTGGTACTATCTGTACAGTCCTACTAACTGACTAAAGCTACAGTAATAGGTCATAGTAATTTATCTCAGATATCAAGCCATTCTAATAATACACTGTCAGAACCATTTAATGAGCTTTTAGTGTTCATAGAGGGATGATTAGGGAGGATTATATTAAGTTCTGTGTATGCTGATTTTGAATTCTTCAACAAACATAGGAAAGCTATGATAATGTATAAAGCCAACAATTAACGTTCATGTGTTCTGTAAAAACCAATAACTAATGTTTATGCGTTCTGTAAGGTATATTCTCTTATTTCTTTAATGATATTTCCATTAGAGGCACAAGCTACAATTTTCAATATACATGTACATATTTCTTATCACTATATACTTTTATTATAAGGATTACTTTGTGTTGTTAGTTTAGTATACGTACTTAGGACTAACCTAAATCTTCTAAATTGGCTGAACCTTGTTAGATATTATTGTAAGTACAGCCAAAAATATCACTAACAGCAAGGGTATCCTAACTGAGGAAACAGTGCATTCTAATCTTTACAATATTTTTTTTTAGGGGGGGACATGCATACTCTTAGTTAAACAACCAGTATATTAACTTACCTACCTTGATTACTAAGTTATCATGTTTTAGTGCTGATTCATATAGTCAGCTTGTTTTGATCAGAAGTTACTTGTAACCACGTTTTGTTTTAATTCATAAAAAACGATTAAAATCAAAGAATAAACTTCAGTCTTGAAGAATGATTTACCTGAGAATAAACTAACTGTACACCACTACATAAAGCAAAACAAGTACTGAGAATAAACTAACTGTACACCACTACGTAAAGCAAAACAAGTACTGAGAATAAACAAACTGTACACCACTACATAAAGCAAAACAAGTATCATAATAAACAAACTGTACACCACTACATAAAGCAAAAC